ATCCATCCTGCTCTTACAGTATTACAAATGGCACTGGTTGTAAATCATCCCTCCCCATGGCACCTGGGCACTACTTTAAGAGCACCAACAAAACCCCCAGAAAGAGGAACAAGAGTTTCCCATCCTTGTTGGACCTCTCCTTCACTCAAGCTGTTCACCAAAAACGACAATATGACCTGCTAGAGTTTGGGCGAGGGCCACAGACCCCACTGGAAAGAAGAAGATTTCTGATGGAGGTTTGCTCCTGACAGGGTCAGAGGAGCCTCAGTCTCCACAAGGCATCTGTGGTCTGATCCTCCTGAATTTGATGCAGCATCTCACATGCACCTACTCTGGCTCAAGCTCAGGCTCCAGCATTCTGACACAAGCACATTCACATTGTCAAGTTCGTTTGCACATCAGTCACAGCTACGCTTATCCTGATTAAAAGGGCATATGTATGCTTTTAATCCTCACACTTGAGCCCAACAGGTCAGACGTTGCCTCTGCTATCAGAACTAGCTGGCTGAAAGTCACTCTGTAAAAAGAAAAGCCTTCAGCAGTACGCATTGAAGTTTAGCTGTGACTGGCAAAAGGCAGCAACACTGAGAGATTGTTGCAGCCTGTTAAGAGGAATAGAAATTATCCTGGAGAGCAAGCTTTTTCCACAACTGCTTGGAAATACCTTTGTTTCTTTAGAACCAAAAAAAGATTTTGTTCTGGTTTTTTTTCTTTTTTCTTTTTTTTTTTTCTCTCCACTGACCTGCAAGATACTTTGCCACGCCAGACAAAACTAGTGCTGTGGGGCAAGGATGATCAACAGGGAAGAATAAAGTATCTTCTTTTCCCCTCCGACTGGAAAGTATTATACAAGTAACCAGCTGCACTGGTGGGGAGGGGGGTCTTTCAGAAGCACTGGCATGCTCTGCTGTTACTAGACTAAATAGATTGTTGGGCTTCTCTGTCCTAGGCTCCTTCACAAAAATTCTGTACAAAGTAAATATATTCATTCCAAGGCCAAAACCCTTCTAGTGCCAACTTTCAGCTCAGAGCAGATGTCTATGGTTGGGCTGCAAAACCCCTGAGGAGCAGGGAGTTTGCACTGACCAGGTGTCCCCGTCTGTGCTGCACAGCCCCTGCGGCAGCACGGGCTGGAAGCAGCTGGTAAAGGCTTGTGGCGTCAGACAGCAGCACGCTAATGAACTGAGAAGCACCAGAGGAAATTCCTCGCTGCAGAGATGGGAATACAACAACCACGCAATCAGGGGCATTTCAATCACTTAGCGTGAAGCCAAAGACTTGCTGCGTAACCTTGGGTAAGTCGCTTTAAATTTTTAAGAGGCAGGATTGAGCCGTACAGCGGGTCTCTGAAAAAATCTATTCTATTACTGGCTCTGGGAGGGAGTGTCCTGTATTAGCAAGAGACAGAAATGGATTCAGTGCTTGAAGCGGAAGAGGGCTTAGGGCTGGGTTAGGATTCCCTCCTCCTCTACCACATGTGAATTGAGCAAGACCAACTTAGGAAATCACTTCTCCCCGTGCCTCAGTTCCTCCAGCTGCATTACAGCAAACATCTCTGCTCATGAAGCACTGTGTGCTACCCGGAGATGTAGTATAAATACCAAAGCACCAGTCCCTTTGCTTCAGGGAACCCACAATTTCATGCGATCCCAAGTGGGGCGTGAATTCTAAGGAAATCCATCTTGACACAGATAAAAACGAATCCAGTTCATTCACAGGACATATGCAAAGTGAAAGAGCCAGCAGTCTGTGCACCAATCTCTTTTTCGCCGCTTTTAAGAAAGTTGCAGTGTCAGACAAAATTGGGGCATTAACCCAGCAGCAATGAAATCGCCTTTCACAAAAACTCTGCCGGCATCTGAACTCTGCCTGCATCTGGCGGCTGCAAATGTTGCCAAGGCTTTAACCCTCTGATACTAACAGAAAGAGATATTGATGAGCGTCCCTCTGGCGAAGGAAACCAAATGGTGTTTTTAACCTCAGTGGATTCTTTACAGATTTTCAATTCTTTAGCAAGGCTGTTCCTCCAGACTGGAGTGTAATTGAGATGCATTAGCCGCTCACTCAAAAACTTTCCCAGGAACACATGTGCACACACACACAGACTATGCATTCAGATATAAATACATACCATACCTGCACATACATTAAGCTGCTGTTCATGGCCTGTCTGGACATTCCTGCCGCCAGCTCGGCTGCTCAGTCAATTGCAGCACTCAATACTGCCAACCCAACGTGACAAATAAAGTAAATACAGAAAAGCAGCTCATCACTGCTGGGTATCTGACCACAGCCACGAAAAGCAAAAGAGGATCTGTTAAGGACCAGTTCTCATGAAAGACATGGACACTGGGAGTATAAGGTTGGGGTGATTTCACCCCAACAGGAATGCTGAACCCCTTGAAATGAGGCCACATTCGCCTACAAACTAACCCAGCAACTTGGTGATGAACCACCTGGCCCCTCTCTTCTTCCTGTACTGTCTCCTTACTGGAACAAGCCACCATCTGTGCCTAGCACAGTGGAAAATCTCCCTCCAAAATCTTCCAGCCTCCTTTATTATATGAATCTTGACAAAAGGCCAAATTCCATCAGTATAGACTGATCCTATTCATAGCATAGAGTCTATTGGGATGAAGAAAGTGTATCCTTGAAGGGTTTCAACTGCAGCAGGACCTGAAGCCATATCATTGATCTGAGCACACCTCAGCTCCGAAATGCTGGGAACCTATCCAGATGCAGCTTTTGAAACTCTGATTAACTCTGGGTTTCAAAGCACAGACCTCACTCTAAAAATGGCTGTTCCATGCAAACAATGTTTTCTTACAGACTGGTAAGCTACACTGAAAACCTTTTAATGTAGTATTCAAGAGCAGCTCTAGCCTTACTTTTCTTTAACCTCAGTACTATAAATGAGGATTACATTATAGGTCTCTAACAAGAGACAGAGGGGGATGTAAACGAACCTTAAGAAAAAAACAGAAAAGCAAAGATTTTTAGAGCTCTATTTCAATGTAAGAAAAAGTATATACTCTCTTTTATGAAAAAGACAACGTAACACAAGGTGTATCAAGAATTCTTTCCACTCTTGAAAACAATGATTCATCAATGAGTCCTAATGTGCTTTATGAGAGCTAAGTATTTAAGCTACACAGTATCCACCTCTATCCATCTGAAGCACAGATTTTCTAATACATAGAAAAGGGAGCTGAGACATAAAAAGCTTGTATTTAGTGTCTGAAAACATAATCCAGAAACAAAGCTAGTATAGCAACCTAATCACTTCTGTGCTAGAAAGGTCTCTTCAGCAGAAGAAATTACAACCTTTCCTGGAGAAAAGAGAGTCCTAAGAGAACCAGAGCTCTTTGGGCATGGAAATAAACAGTTTACAACTAACCACGGACAAAATCTTATAAATATAAACAGAAAATCTGATTAAAAGACTGTGGAAGCAGTAAAACTGAAAAACAGGGAGAATTTAATCAGGTTGGTTATTAGCCAAAAGGTTCATCCAATCTTTTAAACATTTATTTGAAAAATCCTTTAGAGGTCCTCAAAAATTTGCTATCAGTATGAGGCCCATCATTTTATTTCATTTAAATTATTTCTCCTTGTAATTATTCTCTACACTTGCTTTGACTTTGGCACAAGCAGATGAAGTCTTACCTAGCCAAATGTCTTCAAAAGTCTATGCACAGCTGAATTTGAAGGTTTTTTTATCGGGACACTCAGCCACCAAGTCACCTGGTCTTCAAAGACAACAGAAACTGTAGGTCATCTCTGCTTATTCAGACAGAAAATAGCTTACGCTGAAGCAGCCAGTGAAGTGACCACCTCGATTACTTTCATGTAAAAAAGAGAATAGGATTTGACCCAGTTGTTATCTTCCACCGAGCATTTCACTGAACCCAAAAAAGTAGTAGTTATATCAACCTGGGACAACTATCGGTACATGAAGCATCTTTCACTTCCAGGGCTCCAAAGCAACACAGGCTTGGAAGACCTCAAGTAGCCAGGGCAGCTGTAGGCATCCTGCCCGATCTGTATATGCTATGCTAGCTTCAGTTCAGGTCCTTGCACAAGGGAAGGAAGAAACATGTCTTTCACATGAAATAACTCGGGAAATAAGAAAGAGGTTGAAAACCTGCAAAAGTCATCTTTCAGTGTCCAGGGGCTTTACTTTAGCCACTAACTGCTGTTTCCCCTTACAGTGCACCTGTTCCTTGTGTGCCTTCAAGTCAAAGACACAGAATTTTCTGACCAAAAGCAAAATACAGTTTGTTACCCCTCAGAGCTGGTATAATTTCGGAGAGACCAGGATTCTGTTTTGCTTCCTACATTTCCAACAGGGTCTCCACTCTCATCCGGGATCAGGACATCACAGCTACTCCGACTGTCACAGCAGATGCTGACTGAGAACTCAGGTCTGCCTGCTCCAAAAACACGCCCCTGCCCCACTAACTGCAATTCCCTTGGCCTTGGACACGACGCAGCCTGTGGGACACAGCTGAGCAATGCAGACTGTATCCCACAGAGGGCAATGATACTTCTACCTGCTAGCTAGTTGTATTTGTTACAGGAGATGATAGAAAAACAGAGACAGACTTTTATCTGCAGCCCTGGCAATGGAGGGGAAAATAAAGAGAGAGAGAATGTGAATGTTCTTGGACTGATGAAAGGAAAATAAAAAACGAGAGAAAAGAAAGAAAACCTCCGAAGTAACTAGTAACTTGTCCAAACTTTTACATTTTGAACTTTGCTGACAGTGTCCCTGTCCCAGGAGTTCTAGCAGAGATCAGGTCTGCGTGCAGTGAAATGTGCCCCTACCATACAAAAGCTGAATCTCAGCATCACAGTGCAAAGAAAGTAGGAGTATGGACAGTCTGACTTTAACTAAGCTTTGGAAATCTGAGGAGATTGCAGAGGATTAGTCAGTGGGTAACACAAAACCCAAAAGCCACAATTACCAGCAAAGCAGCAGCCACTCTGCCCAAATTGCTGTCAGCCATCCCAGCCATTGTATTTGTGGGAAACAACTAGCAAAGAGTACCTGATCCCACTAGCTACCCACAGCTCCTGGCCAGCTTTGCACAGGGAAAGGAGCAAGCCAGTTTTCAGCACTGACATCTCTCAAAACGTGTATCAGGGAATCTACAGGGTAGGCAATGGAGCAACTGTGGTAGAGGGGTCTGACATAAACAGCATTACAAACCCTTAGTGAAGGGGAGGGGAAACCTGCCCACTTTTGTGTCTATTCCTGTACACTAAAGAGCCTTTTAGGCATCTAACACATTAGAGATCACACTTCCTTGATGCACAAAGGATGCTTTGAAACAACTACAGCCTTTTTATTCACATAAACTCCCTCTGAGTTGCCTTTTCTTCTTGTTGGGCAGAAGTTTGCACCAAGGTTTTATTTGGCCTCAGGGCAAACATGATGCTTTGCAGGAAAGCACTGTCAAACAGACCCCTCTCCTAGGCAAGTAATTACAAGAACAAATAGCTCCTTCTTAACCCACAGGGGAGTCTGCCAACCCCTCTCTCTGCTATTCTTGGCTTCCCGGTTTATAAAGGGTTAAGTGCAATCTAAATGGATGGCTTGTCCTTCTCCAGCTGGTTGGGAAGCTGAACAGATTTCAGCTGGCAGCAGGGCAGAGCTGTGCTGGGGATACTCACTGCAGCACACCCTGTAATGGCAAGAGGAGACCGCCTGCATCCTCTGAAACAGGACTTAGGAACCCTAGATCAAGGGCATGATGTGGTGGCAGCGTCGCAGAGCAGCTTTAGATGTGTTGGGTGCTCCCCAGACAAACAAGGCACGTGCTGCCCTGAAGACCCTACAGACTAAATACAAGGTGATACGACAGGCAGAGATAAATGTGCAGGCATATTTTTAAACAGGGGAATGAAAATCTGGACAGGGTGTTGTAAGCTAGAGGGAAATTACGGTGCCAGACCTGGGTGCAGCCTTCTGAGCATGGGGAGCACCTGGAGGAGTCCCAGTGCCCTTGGGCTCCAGATCAGTTTATATCTGGGTGCACTTCAAGAAAGTGGTTTCCAGTGGCTGTGATCTCTAACCCCAACTCCAAGTTTAGGTTTTACTAAGCAGTGAAATGTTTCAGACTTGCAGCAAAATCTCTGTATTTTCAACTTATTTTCAAGTGTACAAATGAAACTCTTTCCTGAAACTAATTTTTTTTTAACTATGGTTTTACTATTGTCTTTGTCAAATGGGCCTGACGCTTCCCAGTTACCTGAGAATAGCCAGTGTAGATCAAAATCCACAGGTTTTGTG